TTGTTAATAAAATTTAACAAAGACTGTCTGTCATTTCTGCAAATGGCACTAATAATTTTCCAATCATTTCCCTGTATTTCTTGTTATGCCCGAGTATAGGAGACTCTGACAACATGTACGTCTCGTCTCTACCATCGAACTACATAAGGATGATCTTATTGATACTTATCGTAAATTTTGTATAGCACATTTCTGTGTCCAATATTACGATGTTTTTTGCTAAAAAATTGCACTCTTCTGTAAAAAAGAAAACATCCGTGAGTCTGAATTTTGATGTGGATATGTGATAGCTATCGAAGGTGCGCCCAATGCTGATTTCTTCCTTCTTGCAACAGTCATATATTTTATAGTTATTCTCTGCATGGACAGGAACTAGTTTTTTGAGATAGTACACGCAAATGTCCTTCGGATCGTCCATTTAAAATACCTGTGACAACGAAGGCATAATCGTTTATTTACGTCCTCCCGTATAACTTTCCATGCGTGAAACGTTATAATACGTTTCGCCAGTTGCCGAAGACCGTAAAGGAAATCCATAGTCTTTGAAATCTCTAGGTTCTGGTACCTTGAGTATCTATAAAAATAAACACGGAAATTTAAAATAAAAAATATTATTTACAAAATATTTTTATTTTAAATTAATTCATGCTATTCATACCATCTGGTGGCATATTGACGTTTGAAATAACGTGTAATAAAAACCTCTAAAAGAAGTTCCATTCATGCTAATATGTACAATATTTTCGCATGAAATGAATACAAGTGTTCAGTATCAAGTGAATCACTCCTGTATTTTCTTTTAAAATTTAAAACTGAACAAAATGATTTTAATTTCTAGCAGTTTAATCTTAGAAAGGTGGGGTTTTTGGCCTGTTTTTATTTAACAAACACAAACTTTACTGTTTAATTGATATTTCAATTGAAATAATCAGGATACTATAAATTATATTAATTACTTGTATTTAAGCTCATTTATTTTTGAAGTTTTTTCGACTTTTCGTAAACACTCTCTCAGAGAATTATAAATTTAATATGCTTTGCAAATTTTTGCATAAAAGCCAAAAAGTATCCAAGTTTTAAAAATACCATAGCATCTCCGTAACCAATCTTTAAGACTTTTAAAGTACTAAATTTTACCATTAATACGATTTCAAATTTAGTTAGAAGTTACTTTTACTTCTTTATGTATCCTTTCAATATAATTCTATAACTATTATTAAATAAAAAATACTCTGAGTAGGAATAAATTAAGCATCACTGAAGAATTATGGACATTTACATTGTGGTGATGAGGAACTTAAGAATAAACAAACATCTGTAAATATCATATACTATTTTCTAATAAGATATTCCAAAAAAGATTATAAAAATTCGATGGAGTCAGAAATTTTCTCTTTTGTTTTCTTCTTACATAAATGTAAAATTACGAAAAATTTTAAAATATTTTTCTTTCCCTTTTGACTTTTAGACTAATATATAACTTCAATTCTTTAAAAAATCAAGTTAATAATGACTATAAAACTTTAAAAAAATGAGTTAAAAAAGGATAAAAAAGAAAATAATTTGCAGAGAAAAAACTTTTATTTACATTATTACTAACAAGCTTCCCAAATGAATTTCGCCTACGGCCTCTTCAGTGGGGCTTACAGCACACGATTTACGTTCTAACAGTCAACTCATTGAAGAGCCACTTATATGGTTAACAAAAAATTCCCAGCATTCCGCTGTTAACATTCCTGTATTTAAATTTACATTGTTGTTCTGCATAATTATAGCGAAGTGTTCTTTCACCTTACATTATTTTTTTCATTAAAAATTATTTTTAATTTATTAATATTTATCTGACAATTATTACTATTACAATGTTGGAAGACAGGAGAATTACTCATTTTTAATCTTACAGCAGCAAAATGTTCCGACAGTCTAATCTTTAATCTTCGATTTGTTTCACCAACGTAAAAACTAGGGTTGTTACAGGGTTGTTGCATTCTATCCGATAAACAACACCTTCTTCTTCTAATAAATATTTTCCATTACTTCTTATGATCATCATATTTGATAACCTATTATTTAAGGACGGAGCCAATCTAATTAATTTTTTATTAAAAAAGTTGTTATATTTTTCATAAATACCTTTTATATACGGAAATGATACATACTTTATTATTTCTTGACAACGTTTAACTTTAAGCCTGTTTCTTAAGAATCTGTGGAACCAATCATTTTAGTAATCTAATAAAATAATTCTACCAATTTTTTCCTAGTTTTCTGTGCATTTTCTCCTCTTTCATATCGAAAATAATGCTTTCAATCCTAAAATTTGTAAAATACTATTATTGCACGAAAACTACCACAAAATATAGGCCTACATACTATTCGGTAACTAATCCAATATATGAATACAAATTGGCTGACGTGTCTGCTCGGTATTTCTAATTCCTGTAGTATTAACCATCCCTTAGAAGGACAATTAGAAGCAGTGTCTGTAACTTATTCTAATTACTTTCGTTTATTGTTCTCGGAACTCAGTTCAAGGAAAATCATTCCGACTTTGTATCGTTCTCGATTCTTCCCGTGTTAATATTATGTTTAGAAAGAAGCACATCTGCTCTGTTTCTCAACTGTAAAGGCAGGTTTTTCGCGCTACATCTGCTTTCTAATTTGTACTTTGAGTTGCCAGCATAAATTTTCTAAGCAATCTGATCTTTTAGCTTTTTTTTCGTTCGATGCAAATTTGTGATATTTGTAAATACAGAAAGCGTTAATTGTTACAATATTCAATAAATTATAAAACATGACCATAGGCCAGCTCCTTGTACTTCGCAACACATTGTTTTTTTTTCCTTTTTGACATAGTTGGTCTAAAAGGTCAACTCCTATTTCGTCATGTAAAATGTTGCCATTTCTGTCTTTTGTGATTCTCCGGTTGCTTCATCTATGGTGTCATGAAAATGCATTAATGATGATAATATCAAAACAACGTTTATTTTTCTTTTGGCAATAGGATACCATTGTGCAGTATTTCTAAACTATCAAATGTTAATTTATAATTGCAAATAGTGCAAGAATAAAATAATAATTTTAAATTCTTGAAATTATTCTCACCTTTATTTCCAAATTGTCCTAAGCCTTCAAAATGTATTTTAATCGGATTCGATATAATTTCCTTTCGCAGTGTTTCAGCTGCACTGCAAAATGCAGAACGTGCTCTAAAAGTATAAACCACTACATTAGTTTTGTATCAAAAAATTTTTTTGTAAATTCTAAAAATAAAAATTATTCTCAGAATAAAAGTACGAGTAAAAACTACTCTTTTATAACCGATTTCGAGCGATTTATACTAGCGAGCAAATGATTAGCAAATAGATACTGTACTATACTTCAACCAAAACCAAAATCTTGTTTATTAGATTCAAAACTTCCAAATGCATTTTGCTATTACAGCCTCGTCAGTGGACAATTGGACAACAACCAATCAGTTCATTTTATACTGGTAATTCTTTCCCAGCATGCATCTACGTTCATACCGACATTCTGGTTTATCAAAATTACATATTCAGCAATACAAAAATGTTCTGTTACCCTTTTTTTAAAACAGTTTTCTACTTTATACAATATTTTTACATTATTCCTGTTAATTTTACAATGATAATTATTACAGTGTTGGTACCAACGTGACTCCTGTCTTTTTAGACGAATTGCAGCCTCGTGTTCTTTTAGGCGTGTCTCAAGCTTTCTTGCCGATTCTCCAATGTATGACTTCGCTTGTAAACAAGTACATGCCAGTTTACAAACCACTCTTGCGACATCGAGTTGATTTTTTATCATGTTTTGTTTTTCGAAGTTTATAACATTAACCACATTCGACAATTTATTTTTCTGCTTGACCACTACACATACTTCTTAAAAGCCGGTTTATATCGTTCATAATGATTTATATAGGCTATATAAGGAATTTTTACATAAACATTACTATTTATATGGTTTTTTACATTCTATTAATTTATAAATAGTAATGTTGTCCAATTGTCCCCTGATGAGGTTGTAATAGTGAAATGCATTTGGAAGTTTTTAATCTAATAAACAAAAAGGTTTTGGTTTTGGTTGAAGTAAAGTATCTATTTGCTAATCATTTGCTCGCTAGTATAAATCGCCCGAAATCGGTTATAAAAGAATAGTTTTAACTCGTACTTTTAATCTGAGAATAATTTTTTATTTTTAGAATTTTTTTTGTAAATTCTAAAAATAAAAATTATTTTTAGACATGAAAAAAAATTTTTAGACATAAAAAAAAATTAGAAATATCACCGATTCCATTGTTTTAATCTTTATTGAAAATAATTATAGTTTTGTATAATTTATATATACTATGTTTTAGAGCATTTTAATAAATTGTAAATTTTTAGTTCACATATTCTTTTTATAAATGATGCGTGCAATGCAATTTTTCTCTAAATAGGTTTTACTCTAAACGCATGCTGTTTTGTTTTGTGCCAATAATGGCGCTTTAAGTTAACATTAAAGCACATATTTGCTGAGCACTTTTAAGTTAAACTGAATTTCAAAATACAGCCATGTTGAAGCCATAAGGCATTGCACATTTTATTTAATCCTTCTGTAGTATATGGTGTGATTAGTTATCCAAGGTGTGCATTCTTTACCAGATTAAAATATATATATATACTATTAAAATAAATTTGTCTTTGGTTTAATTTGGAGAATTTCAATAATGAGTCTGACTTCCCCACTACCATCTTTCCAGACATTAATAAACCATAATCCAACGTTGTTCCAGGTGGTGGTGGTCTAGTAACGAATGAAATTATTAAATGCCTTTTTTAGGTGTAATATTTATGTGAGATTTTGAACACCCCCCCTTTAGTAATTGAAATTTTATATCAAATCACTAATTTTTTGAAATAATATTTCTGATTTTAATAGAAAATTTTTAAGTTAAAAACGAAGTAAACTAGTAAAACTCTCTTCTTTTTCAACGGAAGTTCATCCTTTCGTTCTTCCCTTATCTTCCAAATTCTGAGTCACACAACTAACAGTCACCCCTCTGTAAATCCACACTCATCCTAATCACGTGGAAAGAATACAATATTCCCATTGGAGAAAACATCGAAAAAGAGGATTCTTTTGGTTTTGCTCGGGGAGTACGCCAAAAATTCTACAAGAAGACGTATGCCATACTCTCTCTCCATAGCCAACTCCCGAAGTTCATAAAAAGTTTGTCTCTATGTTCCCCAGTGAAGAAAATGTTTTATGAAGTGCCGCCTAAGATTTACGAGGGTCAATAATGAGAACTTAAAAGAGAACTAGAGAAATAAAGAACATTCACATCGATCCGAATAGAAAGAATACAGAAGAATACAGAATTTATGAGGTAGTATGATTTTTGAATAGAAGTGTAATCTCTCTCCGTGATATCCATATTAATATGTTGAAAGTCCAATTTGTATATTTTATCTTGTTTTATTAAATATTCGATATTTTTATGTTTCAGAAAGGTGTCATTTATATCTGAATCAGAAGATCTCATCCTCTCCGTATTAACGAATTAACCGCGAGAAAATTGTTTAACTAGTGTCCAACTTTTCTTTTTGTCAGGATTTTTATCTTAAAATCACTTTTCATCTCTGCATTTATAAAAGCCCTCCTTAAAAATTTAGAGATCGAATCTTGCGATTTTGTGCTGATTAAGCGCTACCCCAGTTTGTACCCCCGCTTATCTCACATTTATGTTAGTTTAATTAAGTTACTTTTTATAAACTCAACACTTTTCCTACAGTTTGGCCAATGGCTAATGGATAAAAAATTAACAAAACGAAACATCAAGTCAATCCAAATGATAGAGAATAACGGTTATTTTAAGAAAATATTCAAACTTTATCAGATTTAAGAAAAGTATTAAAAATTTCTTCTAAAAAAACAATTTGAGAAAAGAATCAATTTATCTTTAATTCTAATAGTGGCTCTACTCTGCTTGTCAATTATTGCACTATCTCGCAAACGACACAGTGTATAGGCTACCTTATTTATGTATCATTTTAGGAACTAAATCACTCCTATATACAAGGTATGTTAAGTGGGAAACCATTGTATGGAGTTGAAAAAACAGTTCAATTAATTGAAGCTTTAGATTTTAAAAAATAAAAATAATGATAAGCAATGGGATCGGTTATAAGTATACAATTAATTTTATAAGAATAATTTTAGAAATTTAAAATTAAAAAAAAAAATTCTTTCGAGTATGGAACATTCAATCCGCACCGACTTCGAGGGATTTACGACTAGACAGTTAACAATTTTAATAATATATTATATTTTTTCTCCTGTATCCAAATGCATTTTGCTAAATCACTCCTCATCAGTGGATACTGATAAAGTTACAAGTGCTTTTTATAGTTGACAAAGCTATAACAACATGCATCTATCCTCATTAAATTTCATAGTATTTACGTATTTCTTAATTCTGTAATGTTCTTTTATGCGACGTTTAACAAGATTATTTTTTATACAGAATTTTAATATTATTTTTATCGATTTTACGATTAAATATACTGCAATGTTGAGACCATGGGGCCGTATTCTGGACATCGTCTGTCGTTTCTCACAAGCCGATCGCTGATTAGCTAATCATTTGTTTATGTCTCGAGAGATCATCGCGTCTGGACAACTTTTTCTCTCTTCTCTTCTCTCGTTTATCAGAGACAAGTGGATAGTTGTCTTTCGACCGGTCTATTGTCTTTCGCCTCGATTTCGTTATATCCAATATGGACGACTCAATGCTACTCGTGCTTTGTACGATCGCCTTACAAAACGTTCCCTAAAGAGGGGAAAGAGTATTTCGAGATAGAGACAACGCATTTGATTTAGACTATGATGAATTTCGCTCAAGATTTCGTCTAATGAAAGAAGCAACCACGTGGCTGTGCAATGAATCGCGTGACGACTTAATCCGGCGAAAATCACGGACTGTAATTCCAACAGAAATTCAGTTATTGATAACTTTACAATTTTTTGCTTCTGGTGGATTTCAGAGAAATATCGGCGATCACTGCGAACTTAAAGTTGCCCAGTCTACAGTGTCTCGAATTATGCCACCTGTAGTAAATAGTATTATTCGCCGATTGGGAAATAAAAGTTTTTTTCCTCAAAGTAGAGAACAACAATTGGATGTGTCGTCCGGATTTTTTGCTATCAGTCAAATGCCAGGAGTTGTGGGTGAGTAAATTATTTTTATTTGTTCGTTAGAATATAATATAGTATTAAGTTAAGTTATTAATTAGTTTAATAAACCCGTCACGCCCATATCCCGCGTTAACTCGGGCAAGTTACATAGCGTTACATAAAACTCGGGCATTTGGGCCCCGAAAAAAAATTTTTTTGGAATGTTTTTTGTCTCCAAATTTTTAAAAAATTTTTACCGCGATTTTAATCAACCTTCTTTATAGTGTTGATTATAAAGAAGGTAGCCCTGCGTGAACAAATTTGTGGGATATTTTTTTAAATAGCTGTTACAATTTATAATTTTAAAATTAGTGTAAAAATGATAGTTTCTTATTTTTCTTTACTTATTGCAGGAGCTATTGATTGCACTCATATTGCAATCAAGGCACCTCCAGCCTCCAAATACAGTGGTACCTCGGGATACGAACGCCCCATCATACGAAATTTTTAGGATACGACATGAAATTCGAACATATTTTTGCTCCACGATACGAACAAAAAGTCACCATACGACGTTACATTAGTTCGCAGCGTTACCACCATGATCACGTGTTCCTTCTAATCAAATTCAAAAATCACAGTTCACAAAACGTTTATAACAACATATAAAATTTACATAAACTTACGATGTTAACAAGAGCTAGAAATTGCAACGTAGGTTTCACACACACAAAATAAATTAGAGCCCAAATAGTCAATTAATCCTGAACAGGTCATCGAAAAGGCACCTTACGACACAATCCTTGAGTAGTAATTAGCTATATACTTTTTTCGGCGTTCGTCGACGAAAACAGACGAGACGAAAGCAACCTTACTTCAACGAGTTCATTTGACCAACTCCTGAGTTTCCTTAGTTGAACTTACAAGTTAGAAGAAACGTCCTTAACCTGAAGTTCCTACGGAACTCTATCAAACTTCAACCTAGGCAAACAACTCCAAAGTTAATCTTTGGAAATATCCGGTGTTTCACTATGGTTTAATAATTATTTTTCTAGTAATAACTTAAATATTTCACGTACTTAATATATAATGATATACTGTGTGAATTAGTAAAAATAATCACCTCACAATAATAATTAATTTGGTCTATGACCTTTATATTTATGTTCAGTTGTATTGGAATGAATGTGCTACGTTTAACATTAACAAACTGAAATTTAAATGCTAAAAAAAGGCGCGAGAAGACCAATCTTCTCTCTTTCTCCACAAAAATTCAAAGTGCATCAACAGAACAGACACGTGGATAAATTTCTAGACCAGGGATGGCCAACATGAGGCCCGCGGAGCTTTGTCAAATGAACATAAATGTTAACTTTATTGTTCATATCACCAAATGAACATTAGAAGAGTTAAGAAGGTTTGGAAGAGTTCTATGAAACGTATTTGGACAAGGATAAATATCCTGCGTTTTACAAACATGCTCTGTCGATGGTTTCGCTATATGGAAACACTTATGCGTGTGAACAACTTTTTAGTCGCATGAAGTACATCAAATCACAAGTCAGAACACGAATTACTGATGTTCATTTGGAAAACTGCGTGTAGCGACATCAGTCGAGATCAATTTTGATGCACTTAGTTCTGTAAAACAAAGATGTCTCACTTTTAAATATTTTTAAATTGTCTAATAAATATGTTTGATTCTCTGTTATGTTTTATTTTCTACAAAAAAATAAATATACCTATTTTTTGTGTTTTTTTTTTTACATTAAACCAGGCAAGTGTTTGACCACGATCTCACCTACTGGAAAGCAACGATATGGTTGAAGCTGTAGCACGCTTGTTTGTTTACTTTAATTAGCAAAAAAATATATTAGGTGCGTGGCCCGGCAGGAAATATTATTTCTAAAATTTGGCCCGCCTGCTAAAAAGGTTGGCCACCCCTGGTCTAGACACTGAGCGAGCATTAATGTCAATATTTTTGGGCGATGGCGCATATGCAACGTCAGCTTTATAATAGCGCGTTTATAATACTGTCTACGTCGAGGAACTCGTTATACGTTAAATAAAATGGAATACAGTTAGTGTGGTTTAAAATATAGTCATAAACAAAGTGTAAACAGGCGTATTAAAGCAAGCAAGCACGTAAAGGATGACTATAGCAGTGACAAAAATTTTAATGTAATAAGGTCAGGTTGTGTATCACAAAAAAGAACAGTTTTTTAATATTGATGTCCGCAATATCAATACATATTGTTCTATCAGAGACAGTATACATAGAATATATGATTAAAATGCGCGGTATATACAGTATATTATTTATCTTTTTAACTGTAAAAAATCTCATTTTAATTGAATTTTAAATAGCAAACGGTGTGGACGAGACACTTTAAACGGCACATAAAAATTACGACAAAATGTTAATACTCGTACATTGATTAATTATTAATTTATCAAAAACGACATGGGAAGAAGAACGACAAAGAAAAATGAAACTTGTTACGAACGGAAAGGTGGACGAAAGTCAGTTTAGGCATTGTTCGAATGTAGAGTTACCAAGGCGATTTGCTTACCTCTTTGAGGGGTGGGAAATGCGTTCGATATTCTTGCATTTATAATATCATTTATGATCTAAGCGACTAATAAAAATCGATGACATGATTTGTCTGCTTTGTATTTATCGAGTAGATGTAATTTTTTGAACATTTTTGCTTTTTTTTAATAAATGATTTAAAAAAAAATTACACCTAAGCCACCACAAAACTGTTAATATCTTCTCACACTCTAAAGTGGTCGGCAAATCTCTTTCGTAACACGACCTTTAAACGATCACCACAAACGCAATTACCGTTTTAAGTTTCTTTTTCGTTACTACTGTGCTATGACTCTTCTTCAATGAATGAATAACTCAGGAAAAGTTTATGGGTTCTTCATACCGAAAGCTTAATTCCAACAATAACACAGAAGTTTAATAACAATATGACGATAAGTGATGGTTTACAACTTAACCAGATTAGTGTTTTCTAACAGATACAGTATTGTTCGGCTTTTTACAACCAGCCCTCCTTTCTCATTCCTATTTTCAGCGTCTTTATTCGACGCCTACGATTAATATTCGTCCTCTGAAAGAGTATTTGAACAGATTACTTAGTTTTAAAATATTTCGTAAGTACTTTGCTCTCTCAGAATATTGAACACGGGACTTTACGTATTCTTAAGGTTGGTTATGGACGACAGTGTGTTCGCTAGTTTGAAGTAAATATTATAGATGTTTTACTTGAAGAGTTTGGGAATTGTAAAAATGCCACAAAATAAAATAAATATAACATTAAGTCTTAATTTGCATTTAAAAGCGGCATTATATTTGCCTTCAGAAACCTTTCCAATGTCCCGCTATTTCTAAGTGAAATAATGTGAAGCGAATACAGACAAGAACAGATTTTTGATTTAAAGAAAATTTCATTTTAAATGAAATAACCCATTGTTATGCACATATAACTTTGCTTATAAATATATCCTTTTTACTACGTTATGTATACGTTTATTTATTATAACAACGAAAATCTGATTCAAAACAGCTGATTCATTCTCAATGGAATTGTATACAATTTCCAGCAATGGTCCGCCAATTTCCTTTCTGTGTGGAGGGTCATATCCGGGTCGCAACATTTGACTAAATTTTATAAATTTGGGGTGTTCTACATGAGTAAAGGCTGAATTAAAGGCTGAATTGGTGGCATATATAAATTTTACTCATTGGAGATCCAATTGCATTTTTTGATTAGTTGACGTTTTCACAATAAATGAATCAATGCGTTGCAATCTTACTTTGCTTAGAGATGCAGTGCCAGTGCCACTAGTGGAGCCAGAAGTGATGGCGGAGCACTTCTCACTGGTCTCAGACTCAGGCTCCTGACTTTCTGACTCTTGCCAATCTAAATAATAAATACAGAAACAATAAATTAATTACTAATTAGGTGTATGTTTTTAAAATTACTACTATATACAGACGTGTGAAAATTATTAGTCTCAAGTCGAACCAGTGCAATACAAAATGATACATTTTAGGATAAGAATCAAAAATAATACACTTTATGCATGAGTCTAATAATTTACACACACCGTATGTTTAGTTCACAATGATTACGATATGTAATTGTACACTATTGACTTTAGTTTCCGAGGCCTAATTAATTTCCGCTCGGAAAATTTTTAATCTATTGATTTTTTTATATTATATAATTATTTCCACGTAAAAGCGAATCTGACAGCCGAAATAATTGCGGGGAATAAATACCCCCAAAAAACGTGTTTTTATAGAAAAACTATATGAAAAATTTAAAATAACCAAAAAAAAAAAATGCTTTTATTTGATAAATATAGCTGCAAGGATTGTTATTCTTTCATCTGACAGGTGTGAAAATTCACATGTACAGTCTACAATGTCTGCATTGTTTAGAAACCAATTGACAGTATAACACAAAATTTCTGATTTTTACGCTATTAAAATAGGGAAGAAACTGAAAAAAACGTATATATAAAAAGTTCTACTGAATAAAAAACAAAAATAACCCGCTGATGTCATAAAAATAGTATTTTAAAAAATTTTACCGAAGTCAAAACGGTCCTATAAAAGTTTAGAACGATTAAATTAATTTGATTAAAAAAACTCTCACAAAAGACAATGAGGCAATTAATATGCTAATTAATAAAACGTTATAAACTTTCGCGGCAAAAGTAATTAGTAAAATTTTCATAGGTTATAGATAACGATGTATATGTACTAGCTTATACATTTTTGGAAAAGGCCGTTGTTTTTGTAACGCTATGTAAACTGCCTGAGAGGACAGAACTATGTAATTCGGGCGAAGAACTTAAGAATATCTATATAGGTACAAATTGAGTTATGACCCAGGTAAAACTTTATAGCAAGCTATAGAAAAAATTAAAACTTATAATGGTTCAAAATACTCACCCAGCTGTTGCAATTCCTGTATATCATCCTGTAGGTGGTTATCTTCAATATGTTTTTTCATACGAGTGACTAATCAAACCATTTCTTTCCTCATATTTTGAATTGCACCCTGCATGCCGGTTTTCCTGGATTTACAGAAATTAGTTTGTACTGGTTCCAGATATTATCAAGCCTTCTTCCTGCACTCATTTTTACTTAACAAATAACGACGATAATAATAATGTCTTTTTCCATCCAAGTAATATTACAATACATTAGCTGTATTGCTAATATTGGCTTGTGCTGTCAGGAAATCTCTCCTCTTACTTGTTAGTAATAAAAATCGGTGTGTCACGTGCTTTTATGACCCATTACAGCGAGAAAAATTTCCCATTCCCATGTTCACGTTTAGCTCACAAGTCAGAAAAAGTTTATTAACTAAATTTATGTAATAAAACATTTTTTTAAAAAATTTAAAACATTGTTTTAAAATAGTATTTTATAATTTAATATAAAACTGTTTTAAAACAAAAAACACAAATGTTTCTAAATAAAACGAGTATTATTGTTTTATTTAAAAAAAAAAAAAAAAACATAAATTTGCCAACCCTGGTTACAGTTAGGAATAGGGAGACTTGGGTAGGAGTAACGTAAGTAAATAAATTAAGAAAAGACAACTACAGATGACTTAGCTCTATTGGATTTGGAGACGTGTACGAATATGAATCGTACAAACAAAAAATAAAAAAAAGGTCGACAGGTTACGCACGATTTTCCCGGACAAAATTAATAGTTCATCCGGACAGTGAGTCGATTCCCGGACTGTCGGGTGAAAACCGGACGGGTGGTAACACTAAGCCATAGGTATGAAGAAATACGCACAATTTATTGCATAAAATACGTACTTATGTCAATACACAAACACACAAAATACAATCACACAAAAAACAATGGAAAGGCAAACTGTCACACTGTGATAAGTTAATGTCGAGTATGTTCGAAAAGTTCGTCATTACTCACGATACACGCCATTTTTATCAAACTGTATTGATGTAAGTACGTATTTTATGCAATAAATTACGTACTTACGTATTGGCTTTGAAAAGTTTGCGCCCTATACCTCGTGTCCACTATATCAGTCGAACGAAAACCTGGAATTAACTATGGGTGTCAATAAAGTTAACCATTCATCACTGATGAGCTGAAGATAAAACACTATTAAATAAACTGTACATTAAATAAACTACTAAGTTATTAAATGAAGTTTAAATTAGTTTACTGAAAGTACTATTACTTTATGCTTGTGTTTTTTTCTTTTTTAATTTCTTCTGTCTCAAATGTTTCTGGTGACATTTTATTAACTAATTTACAGCAAGTAAATTATACATATTTTCATAATACCTTGATTTGACCGAATGTACTTATATCATACAGTGCTTCGTTAGTTCAGCAATAAAAATAATTTAAATACTTTTAAAATCAAATTTTACCTATTTAAAAATTTATAACGAATTGTATTAAAATCTCATAAGGTTCAGTTATAAAGGTAAAAACGACAATATATATTTATTTTCATACATTTATAACCAAACTTTTGTTTGAAAAATTTAATTCTAGATTAATTGATGTTTTCATAATTGTTACTCTTCTTTCGGCCAATCCACCTAAAAAAAAAATTTTTTAATTAATAATCGATTTTTATTCTTGTATATTTAAACTAGGGGTTTTTGACCCCATGACCACCATAAGCGGTATTCCATTTGCTTCGTTTGCTCGCCTCTCGCGCTTCGCCCAGTATAGACTATTCACAACAAAATTTTGTGATGATTTAATTCCCATGCCAGAGATCAACATCTTCGATTCATCTACACTTACTTCGCTCAACCTCCTGAGAGTGGCGTACCCAGCAATGGTCGAGTGGATAAAACTACTGAACACTGATAGTTGGTGACGGGTTCGCGCCTCGCCAAAGGGCTGACCACTTGGAGTTTTCCTTTACGTTACTAACACTTAAATAAGACCCATTGGTCAGATGCGAACCAGTATTCAGTAGTTTTATCCACTCGGCCACTGATGGGTGGAAGATTAAGCGAAAGGAAATTGTTTCGAAGGAGTTGGTCGTCGCGAAGGATCGAATCGTCATGAAATTTTTATGAATAGTATAAGCGGGCCAAGCTCATGAGCGAAGCGAGTGATGTACTGTACCTATAGAATTGGTACGTTTTTTGTGGGAAATTTAAAAATTTGATTTTAAGTTTGCGATACGCAGTGGCGTACCATAGGGGGCGGTAGGGGCGGTCCGCCCCGGGCGGCACTTTTTAGGGGGCGGCAAAATTTCACAATAAATAATAATATCTTGTAAAATTTTGAAACATCCTAATCTATACGTGCATCGCGCCTACGATAGTGCTATCGTCCGGACAGTCCGGGAATCGGCTCTCCGGGTGAACTAGTAACTTTTTCATCCGAGGAGTTCCTGCGAAACCTGTTGACCTTTTTTTTCTTGTACGATTCATTCGCATTCATATACACCACTAATATCCAATAGAACTATTTTAAACAGGTCGCTGCACTACCACCGAATTTTTCATTGCTTGTTCTGTGACAAAACTGAATTTTGGTCTTTTAAATTGAAATACCTAAATAAGGGAGGGCCGAAATTTTTCTCCGCCCCGGGCGGCTGACACCCACGGTACGCCACTGACGATACGTTTTAGAATCAAGAAAATACAGTACAGTAATTATATTTTTGTATTCTTTATTCGATTATTATTATGTAAAACGTTTATTTAGGCATAATTAGTACGGTAAAACTTTTCATAATTACAAAAGGCATTCAGCTACGCATTGCAGTGCCAGGAAAGGTATGGGTAGGGGCATTTAAAGTATAAGTAAACATCAAAGTACGAACAACAAGAACTAGTGATTCGAGTATAAAAATGCGAATATTTTACCAGATAGCATTAGCTCCGAAATTTAGTAAACTCAATGAAGAAAGCTTTGAAACAACTGATTTAAATCATTCACTATATCAAAAATTCTCCATGCATGCAAAAAATAATAAATTCTTTCACGATGTCAAGCAGTAGTTTATCAAGAATCCACTGCAGTTTTCTGATTATGTTCTTTATTTTCTGCTTCCAGACATTACTGTATTCTTAAAATTTGTGGATGTTCTCCGTATGGAAATATAATATAGTAAAAAGCCACTGACAAGAACGTCAAAATGCCGCTGTTTGGACTAACGCTTCCTCAACTATTAATCAAACAATGTACTGAACTTAACTGTGTCTGTCAAGTATAGTACATGAAAAACGTTCAATTTTTAATAAAACATCGCTGTTTATGATGTGCTTTTCGCTTAACATCCCTGAAAAATAGCCGCCTCTTAGTGGAAGACGATGTTGGAAGAAGGCCACTTTGGAGTTTTTGATTGTATTATCTTTATTACAGATAATATAATTATAACCGTCTACTAAAAGATGTTTCTTTTTTCCTGGAAACTAATATTAAAGCAAATATAATATCTTTACTTTTCCCAATTTTTTCCCAGATAGCATCATCAATATTGAAACTGGGTAAACAAATAATAAAATCATTACTGATAAACGTTTGCGTCTATTATATTTTATACAATATACTGTTATACAATATATGTTAGAGTATAGTAAATTGTTCAATTACTTACCAAAAGACAATGATTGGGAGTATACAGAAAGCACCAGCGACAACATATGCAGTACCAGGAAAGGTACGGATAGTGGCATTAAAAATCTGAGTAAACAACAAATTACTCACAACAGGAACTAGTGATTCGCAAGAGGATAAAAATGCAAATATTTTACCTGTATAAATAACGATTAATAATGATTAGACTACTTTAAAGTTAATTTTTAAATCGACGTTTATACTTATCAAATACCTAATTCGTCTCCCGATACTATCTTTGAAATTCTCGAACGAACTGCGAACAAACTCATTCCACTTAATGCACCAGTAAAACCGGCTATAATTAATAAACACTTAGTTATTACGTTATAAGTATTTAAACATAAATGAAAAACAACACAAAAGTTCATACCTAAATAATAAAGCCAAGCTTTATAAGCAAATCCTTTCATGATGTTTGATAAAAACATAGAGATGCTACCGATTTCGCCAAGGCAAGAATCAGTGACCTTTAACACTTTAATTATTATAGGAATGGCGATGATAATAATGACCATTCCAGAAATAATCAATAAAGATTTGACGTTAGAGAATGCAGTTACATCCCAATTGTACATATGTTTTGCAAAATAAAATTCGAAACCATCCATTGCTGAAAGAATTGAAACAAACTGATTACATGAGATTTGCATACTGGTTCATTAAATGGATCTTAAAATGAAACGTAGGGATCATTAGTGGTCTACGAGGGACCATTAGTGGTCTACGAGCAACCATCAAATAATCTAAGACTGACCTAATCATTTTACCAAAATGTAATTTTATGCTATTAGAGGATCATCGGTGGTTCATGGACCATACCATGATGTAAGAATACAGATGATACCACTCCTGTTGTATGTGGAAAACTTGTCAGAAATGTGGTCGTATTTCAGACGTTCGCCACCAGGTGTCGTCTTGTAGGGAAGTTTATTTGGTATGGTTGTTTACTGTTTTTTACTATTTACTATCGCCTCGTTCGACAGTGCTTTTAAGAAATTTTAAAAAATTAACAAGCTATGAAGTTTGTATTAAGGCATTGACCAAAAATAAAAGTTATCTACCTATGGCACAGTTGACTAAACTCAAAACAAACATTAGACACAAAAACAAATGCTGTACTTTTCTTTTTTCACTACTTAGCCAAATCGAACAATGGTTATCAGTCAGCATTCATTAATGATGGCATTCTGATTGACGTTGCAAAAGCACTGTCTCATGGAAAATTCACGTTTCCGTGTAAAGCATAAAAATTAACTGATATGTAAAATTATGAAATATTAAGTAGTTCTAAGTTTAAGACAATTTGCCAAATAGCATAACATGAAATTGCAAGACAATTTCAAAAGAGAAAAGAAAATATTTCAAATTTCTTTCTGAATAAAGCTGTTTATTGATAACTTTTTAAATATTCTTGAGTTGGTATTTTTCGAATGATCCGCTATTAAGAATTATCCTGTATTAAAATTTGTCGCAGAAAAAATTACATGCCAAACCCAAAACTGTTATCAAGTACATACAAAATAAAACCGTTCGTAAAGGACACTTATAAATAACAGACACCTTTAATTAACGAGCATTTTAACATTTCCGACGCGAATAAAAGACATTTATTCTTATCGCCTAGTATGTAATGATTTACAATGTTGAGAAACATTAAACACCTTCAAATAAAAACAAATTCATGTCGATGTCTGTCGTTAAGAGGTTCTACTACGTCACAAAACTTTTACGGAGACGAAATTAAACAGCTTTCGATAGTTTAGGAGCTTAAATTAAGCTTAAAATAGCTAAAGTAATATATATTTTAAACCTTTTTAGAGTATAAAAATATCAGTTTAATGATGATTTTTTTAAATTATACACCTATTCTATTACTTTTAGACTATTTTATGAAAATTTCACTAAATTTATTGGAATTAAAACAAATTAGATTTCAATCAGCAATTATTGCTAGTGGTAATCAATGGTAAAAATTGGACTTCTCATCGTCACGACATCTGGTAGATACTCCAGTAAGCTCAACCACTTCGCCAACGTTCTTGAATCGAGAGTGGTATCACCTGTACTCTTACACCGTGGACCATACTTTCAAACCTGCCGTTTATCGGCAAAATTTATAACTAATTAGTTTCCTAGCTACAAAACTTGAAACTAATATGAAACATTTCACCCTCAACTACTCTTTCTAATATATACATACGAGGACATTGAAAAATCATTGTTTATGTAGACTATACAATGGTTTTTCCAATGTACACGTGAATAACAACGTCTTTCTTGGTGAATTTTACAGAATATAGTTTCCCCACCTGTAGCATACAATATTGATTATGTGACAAATAATTTTCTATACTGACCTGAATAAATGCTTATCAATATGCACATTGAAGCTATTAACAACAAAATCTCTTTGCTAATTCCATTCGGTCGACGCTTGGCAACGGCTTCACAACTTTCTTTAATGTTTGTAAAACAAAATAAATCACTAACAGCCTTGAAGTTAAAAATCTTTCGGATATTTCTATTATCATTAATTACGAAAATTAACCACACAGCAGCCAAAAATTGCAACGACAGACTCGTCACATATACGTATAAATAGCCATAATTTTTGTATATTACACCTCCCACAGAGGTACCAAGAGGAGCACCCATTCCAAACGATATTTCTAAGAGTGCATATTTTATAGTTCTTTGTTTCCGAGTTGTCTGTTCGGAAATTAAACTGTACAAGCACGTTATAGTCACTGTCAATCCTCCAAATATACCAGCAGGAATTGCACTTACAAGCATCCAGTACAAAGGTATACTAAAGTAAATTGTATTTAATATTAATCCAACGTTTTCTAATCCTATACCGATCAATGATAAAAATATGGGTAGCTTTCTTCCATATTTGTCACTCCATGGTGCTATGACCAAAGTGAAAAATATCGCCGGTATAGTAGTGATTAAAGAGCTGTATAAGTTATAATTATCTGCTGTTATTTCTACTCTATCCTTCTCGTCAGTATAATTATCCAGATGATCACAGATGTTAGCTGAAAAGTTGTAGACATTCAAGCAAACTTTATCGATATAAATGTTTTTAGTAGAAACATTGCCTAGGAGATAAGCAAACATGAAGAGAATCATAAACGATTCTATTGTAAGACCTTTAAGAATCTGTAAACATGTTCTATTTTCCATATCTTCGGTTTTCTTCCTGTCTTCGTTTGAGAGATTTATGCTTCTTAATTCTGACTTTGCTGTATCTCCTTCAAGGCCCATTTTCATATATTTAGTTCTTCAGAACAAAAGGTAGAACGTAAGGTTATAGTTTTATGTGGAATCTTTTGATCATTAAATATAATAATCCTTAATTTCTGGAGTATTTAAACGTTTAAAACAATTTTTATCTTGCTTTATTTTGTTTTAATAGTAGTTGAATGTTAAAGAATAGCTGGTATAACATGTCGCATTGACTCTGTAAAAATTCATTTTCATTTTATTTAAATAATTATAAGCAAAATTTAATAACTAACTGTTAAGCGTAACACGCATAAAGACTACATTTTTTATATTACAATTTTAATTATTTCTGTAATAACCTCAAATTGCTCAAAAAAAATTTTTAATTGCATTGAAAACCATTGAGGAAGGTATTTTCTGTGTTTCAATACTTTCCTCAATGTTTTTCACTGTTATGTTTTAATGATAACCTAACCTAACTCACTGTTTAATTATGATCCCACATATACAGTATATATAGTAAACCTGTCTAAAACAGAACTTGAATAAAACAAAAAACGTCTACACGAAAACACCGTGAGATTCCAGTTTATACAGGTTTTACTGTATAAATATGTGAATATAGTAAGTAAATTTATAGAGTATATTATATACAAGTATATAGAAACATTCTTTTTTATTACATTTATACGGTTTTATTACTGTTATATAAATATGTATATAATATTTAATAAAAGTTTCTGACATTTTAATAAATAAAGTCTAAATCGGCAGGGCATATAAGATCAAGAATATAGGTTAAGTCTGGATCAGCAAAACATATGTGAGGTCCGGAGGTTAATTGTTAATTTTTTTATCGCCAAAAAAGTACTTTTCCTGATTTATGCTATTTCTGTCTTCTCACGGGACCGATAAACAAAGAACATGTAAACATTTAGTCAATCATCCAAAATCGTCAATATTATCCAGTTGTTGACACGTGGGAACATTGACAGTTAAAACAATTCCAGAACGATAGGAGAACAACAAGTCTTATTCCAACCGCCCTAACTGTCGCTGCGATGAAACATTTGAAGTGTCATCACCAGACAATATAGAGTCACGCGACCGAATTCCCACACCTAAAGGTGATATAATGGCCGCACACCTGACCTTCAGGGCGGACATTCCCAGAAAGAGCCATAGACTGCAGCTCATTTAGTTTGTGCCTTATTACCTTGTGATTTATCGGACGTATTGTCTCCTCATTTCCCCGGACCTTTGTCACAAAACTGCCGAACACCCGTAAAGAGGTAGGATTATTAACCAATTTTATGTAAACTTTCTCTGTCAGTCTGTTAACTTGTCAAAGAATTGAACACAGAACACAGGAAGTGTACCCCTAGCATTTATTCAAGTTATCCTTTAGTATTTGCATTCATTTGTAATTATTTTACTTTATATTAAAATCTTATTGAATTTTAACTATGGTTGATTTCTCTTGTGTATTGCCGATACCTTATCCATGACCTCGCTAACCCTCCCACTGTTATGAACTAGAAGATAATCGGAGCCGTGGCTAAACACTTAATGTAAAAAACCATCCAGTGACAAAGTGAGCGGGACTTACTGTCCTGACAAAGGACGGTAAGTCCCGCTCGGAAAAAGGGTTTAAAGCTTTACATTCTATAGCCCCCAACATCTCACAGATTGGTATCAAGAATGGGATTGGGAGACCCACTTTCAGGGTTTCAATCCATAGGTGTGTCTGTCGAAAACAACTCGTCCGCCTTAGACAGATTCTTGCGTTTCCGCGTTGGTAGGAGATATGATAAAAAGTTAAGAGAAAAATTTAGGTACTATTACATTTTAACAATAGAAACAGAAAATCCTCGAGCCATGTTAAGTGGAATGGCAGTTTAGTCTCCCTACTTACGGTCTATTCTGGGGACACACTGATGGTCCCCTTATTGGTGAATTCTTTGAATCTCTGTTGGATGTGCAGTCTGGACAAAGGCCCGGATGCTTGCTGTCGCCAGATTAAAGCTAATTGGCATAGTGTGGAAGTTTGCCAGAAAACATAGGGGGAGAAAGGATGTGGGGGAGTACGATATATTCAAGAAACACATGTTTGAGAGGTTTGAATGCAAACCATATTCATTCAGGCTAAACAATTTTACTCATGTGTACAGCAATGAGGCGAAGACATCCAGGCTTACGCTGTTAGACGTCAGTCCCTTGCAACACACATGGAGATAAAACAGGTAGACACAGACGCCAATCATTCAATGAATCCAAGGTCAAGAATTAGACGAGAGGTTAAAGGTCCAATTTTTGAACGGTATTGACATTCGAATTCGATGTCCAGAGAGCCTAAAACCATCAATGAGGGCACTGTAAGTGGCCATAAGTGAAAAAATTATAGAACGACTTACAGGGAAAGTCCCATAACTTGATATGAATAATCGACAAGGAAAACCTATCTTCAAATAAGGTGGGAGACGAAATAGACAATTTAAGTGTCATAATAAATAAATTACAAGAAAGAGTGGAAGATCTGAATAGAGAATTTTCCCGAACTAGAAATGGCCCGGGATGAGCGCGACAGCAAACAAGATAGGCAATACCGACTGGTCATTCATGGCAGTAGAAACTTCATCCCCCAGTCAGCTACAAGACATGATACGTGCCTAGGTTGTCAAAGATCCAGCGCCTTTAGATCTCTGACCAACCAGGAAGCGGTACCTGATCAAAGAGAGACACGATACGACCCCATTCCGAAATGGGGTCGTATCGTGTCTCTCTTTGATCAGGTACCCATGTCTCCATTAAGAAATGGAGGATGAAAACAAATGGAGGGGAAAAATAACGTTGATACAAATGAAATGCGAGCCCATAATTTTCGTTTACGTCAACAACGTACCCAGGTACAAAAACTACAACAACGTATTTAAAATTGACCCAGGTACAAAAACTACTCTATGTTAAAAATAAGGTTAAGAATAAAGGTTAAGTCTAGATCGGCAAGGTATATAAGGGTAAAAATAAGAATTTACGCCTAGTAGTTGTGGGAAAATCGTTTATAAGTTAAAAAAGTTGCAGCTTATGGCCCTGCGTTATAATATGTAGCTTAGGACCTCATATTTTTACACCTATCATTGGGAAGGGACTATTATATGTTATAGCTGATAACCCCAATAACTCTAAGTCCAATCCTGAGTTAAGTTAATATTTACGTGAAGAAGAGCGAGGAATATATAGATAACTTCTAATTAGCACGCATAGGGCGTTTGTTCTGTACAGGTATCTTCGCAAAAGTTTATATTTAATACCTTATTGTCATATCAAAACACAGATAATATATAATTTAGAATATCTAAGCTGATTATCCGTGTTATAATAAGATATATTTTAAAAATATTACATCTATTCTTCAATAATAAGATTTATAATTACACTAGTTAATAAAAATTAATAAATATCTACATAATTAAACACATCTACATAAAATTATTTAAAAATTGTTTAACTTACTACATTTCTATAGATGAAATTATAAGGTTATCAAATGATAACATTTTCCACGTGAATCACAATCAGCCATGTGATTATCGGCTTTGCATTAAAGATAATTATGCATTTCACACTTGTAAGAAATTTATATTTTGTATAAATTATTTTTTAAAACGTAATTAAATACTGGTGGCTCATAAGTCAGTTAACAAGGCGTGATCCTCATTCTAAAACTAAAAACTGTAGGAATTTTGAACATATAGCTGAGAACTGAGTCGTTAAAACATTAAATTAACAAATCTATCTCATTTTTAATACATAAACACTTGATAAAAATGAAAGATAAGAATACCTTTATCTTTGCATTTAAATTAATAAAAAAAAATTAATTCTCTTTGTGTGAATGCAATTATATTGGAATTTATTATAAACACTACCAGATATAATAGTAGTTTATAATAACGTTTTATCTGTCGAAACATTATTAAATGTTAAATAAATTGTCTCTGTATTTTCCGTTTTTGCCGTTTATCCTTGACAAAAAGCATAAATGGAAAAAAAATTGAGTCATAAAAACAACGATAAAGAGAAACGGAAAAAAAACGAAAATAAAAATAAAACAAACAGAACAGCCGTGAATTGTTTATTCTGATCATTAGAGTAAATATATAAAGTAAATAAATAATCAAATGCTCTTTCCATTAGATTTTAATAAAATTCTAATTCTGTTAGGCCTGGTTGTTAGTGTGTAGGGGGAAACGATTTTGTTCACTCTCTTTGAAAATAATTAACTCCCGTGCTTTTTGTCGAAAATTTCTGAAAGTTTGCAGGGAGGTTTGTTTATTAGGGGGATTGATGCTATTAAATTTTGGTAGTTACAGATCGACGGAGTAGAGAGATAAAGACAAATTGTTTATCGTATCTTGAGTAGGGTCGGATTTAACGACGATTTTACTCGTTATTAGCATTTACAATCTTTATATATATATATATAAATGGACATGTATGTCCCTATATCTCACTTTTTCGCCAAAACTACACATCGCACGTGAATGGTGTTTGTATGTGGTGGTAGCCCCAAGTCTCCATTCGTGCATAGGGGTGGTTGCGTCTCGATAGNACCAAAAAAAAAAAATGCTTTTATTTGATAAATATAGCTGCAAGGATTGTTATTCTTTCATCTGACAGGTGTGAAAATTCACATGTACAGTCTACAATGTCTGCATTGTTTAGAAACCAATTGACAGTATAACACAAAATTTCTGATTTTTACGCTATTAAAATAGGGAAGAAACTGAAAAAAACGTATATATAAAAAGTTCTACTGAATAAAAAACAAAAATAACCTGCTGATGTCATAAAAATAGTATTTTAAAAAATTTTACCGAAGTCAAAACGGTCCTATAAAAGTTTAGAACGATTAAATTAATTTGATTAAAAAAACTCTCACAAAAGACAATGAGGCAATTAATATGCTAATTAATAAAACGTTATAAACTTTCGCGGCAAAAGTAATTAGTAAAATTTTCATAGGTTATAGATAACGATGTATATGTACTAGCTTATACATTTTTGGAAAAGGCCGTTGTTTTTGTAACGCTATGTAAACTGCCTGAGAGGACAGAACTATGTAATTCGGGCGAAGAACTTAAGAATATCTATATAGGTACAAATTGAGTTATGACCCAGGTAAAACTTTATAGCAAGCTATAGAAAAAATTAAAACTTATAATGGTTCAAAATACTCACCCAGCTGTTGCAATTCCTGTATATCATCCTGTAGGTGGTTATCTTCAATATGTTTTTTCATACGAGTGACTAATCAAACCATTTCTTTCCTCATATTTTGAATTGCACCCTGCATGCCGGTTTTCCTGGATTTACAGAAATTAGTTTGTACTGGTTCCAGATATTATCAAGCCTTCTTCCTGCACTCATTTTTACTTAACAAATAACGACGATAATAATAATGTCTTTTTCCATCCAAGTAATATTACAATACATTAGCTGTATTGCTAATATTGGCTTGTGCTGTCAGGAAATCTCTCCTCTTACTTGTTAGTAATAAAAATCGGTGTGTCACGTGCTTTTATGACCCATTACAGCGAGAAAAATTTCCCATTCCNTAGATCCAAGGTCACGCTAACAAATATACAGGATCTGGCTATCCTTGTAGTTTAAAGTCCTTGGGTAGCCCCAAGTCTCCATTCGTGCATAGAGGTGGTTGCGTCTCGATAGCTATAAGAGTGTGGGAGATATGAGGCGGAAAGTGGTTGAAAGTGGTTGAAAGTGGCTTTCTATTTCGAATGTTTTGTTCGAATTTGTTCCAACAAATTCGAACAATATTCGAATTAAATTCGAACATAAAATTCGAATATTAGTTCGATTATAGAACGATTGTAAACGTTCCAGAAACGTTGAAATTTGTTCGTTTGACTAAACGTAAAAATTCTCTAATTAATCTGGAAACGGGGGACCTAATTCTTGCATTCTGTGAAAACGGGTAAGATTAGCTATAATGTAATTATATTAATCTTCACTATCGTTACTTTTTGCCCAGCAAAGCGGGTCCTTGCAGCTAATTTTTTAATAAAAAACCATCCTTACCCTCAAAATCAAGAGGCTTACTAGCTTCTTAATCCACAAACTAGACTCCGCTTACCAGATTTATTTATTATTAAATGCATTAGCAAAAAGTCGAGGGGTTGACAACACACCTAAAGATAAAAATTAAGCTTACCGATGTTTCAAAACTGTGACAATAGTCCGTGAGAGAAACGGAACTAAAATAAAAATAAAGAAAAAATAATTAAAGTTATATAAACAAAACGTGTTATTGAAAGAATAACCTATAAAATAAGCGAATTATAAATTATTAAGTAATGAAAGGTAAGGTCCACTGGCATAGTCGCTGTCAACCAAACAAGTCGATGTGTAGACAGACAGGTTTTTTAAAATACAAAATAATATGACTCGCGTTTAATATGCTACATACCTTTGTACTCTCTATGCCAGGGGACTCGTGACGTAGAAATCCAACGAAAAAAAGGGCCACTGAAATTGCAATAATAAATAAATTATTCGGTAATTTGCTTATAGTTGCACTGTATTCTCCGAGCACAAGGTATATAGAATGAAGACATTGTCAGTAAGGTGTGACGTTATAATAATATAACATGAGAACTATAGATAAAAAGCTCTCATTTAAATTACTGTGTATGCACGATAGTTCGATTTAAATTATAACATTTTTTCTTAAAATGAGAAACAATTACTTCTACTTTATTTGCGCAATACTAAAACACGTAACTCGTTTATTATTATTTTGCAATTTCGATATTTTGTTAGAGATTTATCTCCATGTGATAAACATATTTTTGTTTGTAAATAGAATATCAAAAAACGTTTTTTTTGTTTTTGTAAATAGGAATATTGCAATTTTATTACATTTATATTAGTGTTTATAATTCGTTTATCTAGTAAGCACACAACACCCGTTCGCGAGTAGGTTAAAACCACTAAACACTGTTGTGGGTCTTTAGATTGGATTGACTGTATACGTGGGTGAGCTGCCGATAGGAGAGATATCTCCCGGGATGACTTTCTGTGTGCTTCTAGGTGTTACACGTGAATAAAACACGGAAAACGCTACGTGACCGTCCAGTTGGCCAGGCGCGAGCCCACGATCAAATGTTTATTGATTTTATCCACTCGGCCACTGGTGGGCACCTTGAGTTTGTGTCTCACCAACAGGCTAGTATGTGGAGTTTTCTGGGTTTTTCTTCCGTATTTAAACAAAACGCTCTCACACGCTGTCACGTCCCACTCTGCAGAACTAACGACCCAGAGTAAAATACGTAAATTAAACATATTGATATACTCGGATGCTAATTATAAGCATGACGTCATCAGTTTAACAATATTTTCCTTATTTTGTCACTTTTAGGGAAAATATGATTTATTATAAGGTCTAATTTAGAAGTGCTCTTAATTTTTATTATATCTACATGTGCTTCATATCGTCAACAGAACTCTATCTGCCCGAAAAATTCTAAACAAAGTAAGTAAAACATAAATGTGTAAATGTTTGTAATATTCTAAACTTAATCCACTATATAACAAATGTCATCCTTCTACATCAAATATAATTGGAAACAAAAGTACGAGTACTGTAGTACATCTGCACTCATTGAACAGGTGCGATATTCATGACGTATCCAAGTCAAAACCTATACAAAATAATACATTTTTATAGAAAAGAGAGTCTTATACACAAAATGAATGCTGTAAGAGCAATATTTCTAACACTGTTTCTCTGTAACGTAGAATGTTACATGGAAAGTAAGTAGTTTTAAATCATAGATTATAAAGTTCTTTATGCGAATTTACACAATTTCCATATTTCAGATGAGTGTTGTTCGTTAGAAAAGGTCGTAGGTCCATGTAAAGCCAGTATGCCTGGATATTTTTATAATAAAAGCGCTGACGAATGTCAAAATTTTATATATGGAGGATGTCGCGGAAATTGTAACAGATTCGCTAAGTTAGAAGAGTGTTGCGATGCCTGTGGTGAAAGTGAGTAATTTAAAAGGTTATAAATAAACAGTTTACTCGATAAAATTAAAATATAAATTATTTTATTTTTAGATAACTGCAATAAACAGTGAGATATCTTTCATCTTCTGTAGAGTAGTATGGAATTAAACACTACAGTATAAAATTCATTTACAGTATAAAATTCTTAATTTGTAAGGGAAATTTTCCTCTTTGTTATTTTAAATGGCTTATATAATAAAATATATGTATTTTGTAATTTATATACTATATTCGATAATTTACATTTTGTATTAAATTTCTCGTTAATTTTTGCGGATGTATTCCTCATAAATGCTAAATAATTTGATATATTGTGTAGCCTATTTACAATATGAAATAATTGTAGTTCTATACAACAGAAATTTTAAAAACTTAATTTCATTTACACAAATAAAATTAAAATAATAAATATTGCAATTCAATTTGAAATTAGTTGTAATTAAAATCCAAGAATCCTGTATGTAGAGATTGAAAGACATGTGATTTGTATCAGCTATTTTATTTATAAGGGTGTAGCATATAATAAACACCTTTATTCCAACACAGAATATTTAAGAAAAAATTTAAAAGCTTAATAATGATAATAATAATACGTTGAATTAAATAATAACATTTTATTCATGAGTTGGGCAAGGTAGAGGTTATCTGTTGATTTTATTTATCAGCTAAATTTGATTGATTCATCCTAATAATCGGATAAATTTTCAGAGAAATACTCTAAAAAATTTACCGATTATTAAAATGAAATAAGTATATTATTTCTTTTTAACATATATGAAGTCACACAAAAATATAATATTCACACTGTGTATTAATTATAAAACACTATTAATTTATAATTTATAATATTTTATATTTCTTCTCCTATTTAATTGTCTAAATTGTAGATGTTGATATTAACTTAAATACTTTACTGATATTTTCTTACTGTATTTATAGAAAGTAGATTTACACATTCCTTCACATATTATGGAGAATTTAACATAATGCTTAAACAGGAAGGATTAAAAAATAAAGGAAATAATACCGTATTTGAATATCACTAAAGATTTTAGCCTGTGATGTCGGCTTCTCTGCTTGTGTTATGTGCTTAAAGGGAAAGCTGGAGGAAAGACGACATTACCAGTCGACCCCCCTATAAGATCATTGATTTTTCCGTTTTATCTGAATTACATGTTGTACGAGTCACTTAGATTTTACAAATATGTGAGCCATTCACAGTCCGGCACACGTATTTGTAAAATCTAAGTGACTCGTACAACATGNTATAATTTAATAATTAACTGATTTTTTGGTAAAACTTGCCAAAATATAAAAAAGCGTTTAAATTTAAAAACTGTCATGATGCAGGATCAATGACAAAAATATTTATCTGAAGCATTAATGAAAATCTTTTATATCTTACCTACAATAAACATAAACCTTAAAAATAGTATTCATTTAATAATTAACTGATTTTTCCACGATTTATCAAACAGGAAAATAGATTATACTCTCAATATACTGTATATGTATAGAGCTTACAGCTCTTGTCTAAATTTTATGTCATTATGGCCCATATAGCGCCCTGTATTATATAGCCTCTGAGTTGTGGAAGTTTAATTCCGACAACCATGTATTTATAATTCATTCTATTAAAAACACGGATTATAATTAATTTAACATACAATATGTCTCATAATTCTGAAATTGTAGAAGTTATGTTGATCTCTATTTATTCTTTTAAAGGTGAAATATGGTGCTAATTAAAGACGAATAAATTCAAGTTATTTTTGTGGTAGGTACCCATAACATAGGCTCAAAAGAATTAACAAGCAGCATCTAGGCAACTGTGTGATTGGTGGGATGTCTGGATGCAGCCTGTTAAATTATTCGACTGTTTCATTCTGACTACAGGTTCCCACCATCAAAATAACTTGAATTCGTTCCTTGTTGGTGCCATTCTTTAATGTAAAATACTACAAAGAGATTAAGTACTTTTTAATTAAAATAAAAACTGCATAATTGATAAAAACATATTGTAAGATACAATTCAATTAATCTCTACAAGTATTTAATGCTTATGAATTAAAAATAACACAAGAAATTGATGATTTATACATTGGAGGAAATGGAGTCAATGACGTAATCTTCTTCGTTGGGTTTTTCAAAATCACCAGACTTTGGTTTTGGTCTATTTGAAGATTTCTTATACTCGAAATATTCCTTTAATTTCTTATCTACATCAGCTTGTTTAGGTCTGGCATTATTAAGAATATCTATTGTAACTTCCGGCCTTAACGATTTTCCTCCTTGATTTCTTGCCTTTGCTGCTGATTGGCACAACCTCGATTGACAATAATAATCTCTCTTGCCATCATTATGACACCATGTTCCATCTGGGAAATAAGTATCCACGTCCATATCGTTCAGTTCATGACGCGGTGTGTACCACGAACCAGTCTTAGTTTTGCAAAATACAGCGCAGGATTGCCAGCTTCTGTCTTTTAGTATAAATGCAAAAATCTTAGAATTCTGTGCACGTTAATGTCGGAATTATACATACAGTCTATGCTTACCTCCTTCCTCGTGAGGAACCTGAGTTCCTTCAGCAACGACGTCGGGAACATACTTGGAAAATTGTTCACATCTCTCGGTAGCATATTTTACAACGTCTACACGACTTTTACATATCTGGAAATGGATAATTACTGTAAATATATGGCGCTTAAGAAGACTTTCTTGGTGCTCACAGGATGGAAAGATTTTTTTAAATCATATTAATTAAAATATGAAGTCATTAAAAAGTTTAAAAATAATTGAAAGTGAACGTACTGAAGAATCGTCACACAATTTTACAGTAGTAGTATCTCCATGACAAACATCCTCTGTATTTTTCGGCCTGAAAGAAAATTTATTCACATAATTTTCAATCCTTAAAATTTAATCGTGTTAAATTTTAGTCAATTATACTAAGACTATTCTGACAGACACATACTTCGGGTTATCGCATCTTCTTCTATTCTTTTGAGCCCCTTTTGACTTTGTAATGCAACCAGATTCACATTTTCCTTTCTCCCAAGCACTCCATCCACCGGAAACAACTTCTACTTTTTTGTCACCCCACGGCACACATTTTCCATCTTTGCACCACTGGATTTTAAATAAATTCAATGTTAAGCTCACCGGTGTGTTTTGCCAGGCCCACAATTAGGCGGTCAGATGTGAGGGATTGACGAAAATTACTTGTTAATATAAGTTTTTTAACTTTAATAATTTTTATAAGCTTTATACTCACGTTTTTACTTCCGCAAAACGTGCCATCAAGTGCGGGTCCTGCCGAATAATATCCAATCCTGTTAGGACTCTTGCAAAGGGTCTGTTCACAAACTGACTGAAGATAGTTTTAAATTCGCTGTTATTTATTTAATTTAAAAAAGTGTATCAATAAATATTTATTAATTCTTACATCCAATACAGTATCATTATACAGAATAGCTTCTTCATCCTTCAGGAAAACACGGCATTGATCGTAAGCATCCCAAATTTGTCCAGGTATCATATTATATTTTTTATGATCGTTTTCATTAGAATCCTGCTTATCAACTAGACAGTCTTTTCTAGGAAACAAAGAAACGATTTCACTCTAACACCAAAGTAACTCATGTTTTATTTTAATTTACTTACTTTAAATTCTTCAACACTTTAGAACTGCAAGAGGACCAAACTGTTTCTCCCCTACTTCCTCGACTTGGTGACATTATAAAGCCATTTGAAGCGCAATCCTTGTTTAGAGGTGGTCCATCGTGATACATACCCAAACTGTAAAAAATTAAATTGTAAAAAATAATTCTTCCCACAGAAATAATTGCCGTATTTCTTACTTATGAGCCATTTCATGAGCTGCTACATAAGTAGACATGAGTCCAGCTGAAGGATATGGTCGTCCTATATCATTTACAGCGCCAAATTCTGATATAACGCATGAGTGAGCCTTCATGCACACTCCACCCACAGGGGCGAGGCCTGAAACGAACTTTACAATAAATAATCATAATTTGTGAGTCGTTTATATGTGAACTACATCTCACCCATTGTAATTCCGTTCTTTTTCCCTTTATCCATTCCAAAAAAATTCAGACTGAAAATACATAAAATAATTTAAATTAATAAACAGTTTTAATAATATATTTATGTATGAAAATCAATTTAAAATAAAATTAAGAGATGAACTCACCCTGAGAGATAAAGTGCCATATCCCAATGACCAGGATCATCATCAGAAGATGGATTTTTCTTAGACTGATACTTGCAAAATGATGTTAATAAAGCATCTTTCTCACCATCATGATGAGGTAGATCACTCTAAATATACGTTTAACATAAATTTAAGTAAAATACAATATAAAAATCTTTTACAGAAACTTACAGGTTGCTTTTTTTGAATTTCGAGATGTACTAAAGTAATGTGAAGTTTTCTTTGTAAGGCCTTTTGGTAATACAACGCTTGAATCTGTAAAAATTAAACTATATAAGTGGCATGTAATTGGCATAAAGATTTACAAAAAAAATACATTATAGAACCACTTAAAATTTCACCTGATTTACGAATCCCAATAACATATCGCGCATATTTTTGTCATCGTTTTTCACGACTGGCATGAGTCTTTTGTACGCTGCCTGATCGAAAAACACCGCTAATTCTAAATATAATTCATTACTGGATCTTCTCCCTTTTGTATTTGTTACTTCATCACATTTTTTGCTATCGAAAGGTTTTAGATTCGGCAAAATTACTTCATCATCCCACATCTCTGAAACTAATTCAAAAATAAAAGAAAACTTTCACTTCTCTTGTTCAGGCTGATTGTAACACGGATTATGGACGGACCATAATCTGTGAATTGTAACATCTTCGGTTATGCACACAATCTCCATCTGCTGAAGATCGCGTTCATAACTAAAGAGATTACGATCAGCCTTTATTTTATAAATGATATTAAAAGAACTTTCGCTTACCTTTCCTTTTCATTTCAGAATATTCAGAATTTTGATGAATAAAATGAGGTATATCATCGAAATTAATTTCATTATTTTGACGAAGTAAATGTCCTAATTTTAAACGCAAATGTCTTGGTAAAGGTTTTAAAGAAACTATCTTATCGGGGAGAATTAACATTCCTGTCTGTAAAAGAGAAAATTAAATTTTGTAAGAAGCAAGTACACTAATTAAATGTATTAAAAAAATAAAAAAATAATCAAATCTGTGAGTAATAAGGAAAATTTTATAATATTAATTTAATGCGAGACCAATGGCTCCCGGGCACCCTGCATCAAATCATGGTCATCAAAAAGCTCCAGGAATATTTCTGGGATTGGTCTCTATCTATCACTATAGATAGAGACCGACCTATCGTGTGCGACCAAGCATATGATGGATACGATTAAAATGGCCCTCTCAGTGTCCACATAAACGAAAAAGTATCAAATTAATATCAAACATTTGTAAAAATACTAATAATTTTTTTTGTTAAAGTATCTTTACAAAAATAAATCAAACTTTAAAAATGATTAATTTATTAACGCCAGGTATCTAGATCATATATGCGTTGACATTAAGGATCCAGCTCTGTTTATAATTATTCTCGTTACGAGTTAAGAACTCAATAGAACCCGTGATAACTCCTTTTTTTTGTTTTGTTTTCATTGAGATCGTAAGTACTCATATGGGCGATCAGGCCAACCTGGAATAGATGTTCCTCACCATCAGTGGGGTCGAATAGCATTAGTTGAGAATGGGGAATAGCACTTCGATCCTTATTACCCATTATAGAACATGGAAGTCTGGATCTGATTCGAATCCGGATCGCTCATTGCGATAGGTTAAAACCCCGTTGATGATTTTAGAATGCCTTTACTACATGATCATGTGACATGCACTAATCTAAACAATTGCATTTTTGAATAATAATTGTTATACATTTAAATAAATAAGTAAATAAATAAATAAATAAATTTACCATTTCTCCTTGTGCATTTTCTGCACAGTTGCTAACAGCTGCTGCGGCATCATTATTATATGCTATATAATGGCAATTTTTTCCTGAAAAGTTTGAAGTTTTTTCTCCATCAGATGAAACTTCCACAATATTTAGCGATGGAGATATTAAATTTCTATTTTCTTCTAAATTCAAATTTAGATTGTCTCCTTTTAATCGGAAGCCGGCGCTATCATCGTTTCCAATATGGCGTCCTTGTCGTTTGCTTATGTTTTTTGTTCCAACATAAACAACTTCGTAATCTGGAACTATTAGTCAGTCTCTTTTTAATAAAATTCTCATTTAAATATCTGCGCAAGTAATTTTATAAGAAAAGTTATTAAGATATGTTTTCAAAAAGTTGTCTACTTTTATTATTTAAAAAAAAAACAAATCAGCATTTCTTTCTAATAAATTACGAAGTTATTTTAACAAAGAGTAAGGAAATACAGACAGGTTGTTTATGTTGAGGCGCGTATTTCTCTGATGCAATTTGTCCGCCATGTTACGGGGGGTTTTTAGTCATGTTGCGCTTAAAACAGCGACACGTTGTGTGGCTTTCGCATACAATAATAAATTAATTAAAGGCTGTGGCTACCCATTTCACCGGTAAATCAATGTTTTACAAATTATTTAACCTATTATTAAAAGTATATTTATAGAGTTTTAGTGGTAATAAAATATCTTTACTCTAGTAAAAACGTCATTTTATTATAATCAATGATATCAATTTATGTCATTTCTAAAGTGGATTTTCGTAATGACGTGAAATAATTTCAACTGATAAAATTACTACAGTATTTATAAGTATTTAAATATCTTTAATCTGTAAATATAATGACTTTTTTAAGTTTGTCTCAATCTATACATATAAAATTACATATCCTGACTGACTGACTGACTGACTGATTAATTCATCATCTCCCGAGCAAATCGCTGAACCTAAACAGGTGAAATTTGCTACACTGTTGGGATACGTCATGAAAACGCACACTAAGAAGGGATTTTTCGAAATCCCCCCCAGCAGTGGAGAGGGAAATGATTAAGGCTTAACCTGAAGAACGGCTTCTACAGTACTATTTTAGATGCGATTTTTTGTTTTTAACTAAGTTTTTGTATGGTAGTGCATATGGTAGCTCAATGAGAGTGCATAATAAAAAGGGATTTTTTGGACATTTCACCGCGAGGGAAGAGGGAGAGGATTAAGGCTTAAAAAGTCTTAGCCCCGAAAGGCAATACCACAAACGTAGTTTACAAAGAGGTACTGGGGTAACTGAAACTCCATTTTTCAGTAAACATTTATACTTTAGGAATTTTCAGATAACGTCATTTATGTTTCGAAAAAAAATTAAACTCAGATTTATCGTATCTCGGAATTCCATAATATTTGAAACTTGAATTTAGGTGCATTTGCAGTCCATAGTTTAAAATAAACAAAAATGAGTAATTTTACCAAAGATTAACAACTAATGATTGAGAATCTTAATGAAGTACCGAAAGAGGTTTATTTCTATCAAATTGCAAAATCCGCGCGGGTAAAGCCGCGGGTAACAGCTAATGCTTTATATAGGCTAATTAGAACAATTATGCATTAACAATAGATATTTATTTTTTATTGATATATTTACTAATATTTACTGATCATAACTAAATAAATATTTTTTATTTATTTTACAATTTTAAATTTTAAACCTATTATCAAACTATCATCAAATTTACAATTATCTTAAATTAATTATTAATTTGCATCAGTAAAATTATTCTTTCATAAATAAATATAAAATGTAAATCAAAATAATTTGTTCGACTTTTTAATAATGTTTGAAAAGAAGTTAATCTTAAATGTACATAAAACAAAATATATATACAGTCGAACTTCCAGTAAAGGCCACCACCCCTAAAGAGAGGCCATTTGCTCACGAACTCTTTTTAATAAAAATAGCCTCCAAAAATAGCCATTTTTATGTTCTCGTCAGTGGCCGTTTGCATATATTTGGGTAAAAATAAAATATTTTCAAGGAAACAAGTCACAGTCTTCGATATCATTATATATATGATTGGCTTGAAACTGACTTGAAACTCGCTTGAAACACTATCCTATATTAATGTTTGTTACATAAGTGATATTCAATAAATTAATTAGTATCAGGAAATCTTGCAACTCTCTTAGAAAATTAAGCTTTCTACTAAAGTTACATTCCCTAATATTTAAAGTGCTACAACTTAATTAATAAAATAGACCTAATATCAACACTATACTAAACATGTTTTAGTATTTTATTATTAAAAATTTTACGAGACACCGTGGAGTGTCTCGAAAACCATATTAGACCATCGAATTACAATACAATCTCCACATTCTTTTTAACCTAGCAATACTTTTCGTGGAATATCAAATATTATACGTTTCAAAATCCTAGTAAATTGCAGTTGAATGACTTCTAGAATCTTACAACACCCCAAATATTTATAAAATTTACATTAAAGAAAGATTAAATATAAAATAAAAGTACATACCATCGTCGTATCTATCCACATTAAATATACCTCTTAATTCTTCTTTCGTTAAGAATCGGTGTAATTTTTCTAATGCCTTAATAATAAACATGTTTAAAAATAAGGAAAACTTACATATAAGTTTTAAAAAATACAGACAGACAAACTTACCGGTATTTTAAGAGACGATGTTTCAAATACAATAATAGCAGATAATGTGGAAAATATCAGCAAAAAGTATTTCATTGCTTAAACGTAAACGACCCGAAACCTGAAATGACAATGACACACGACGGATTTTACTGATATAATAATAAGAATAGAAAGGAATTAAATGTATTTGTGGGATAATATCCGATTTCGAAAATGCGCTTTCTTTGAAAATACTACACCTTTTATAAAATGAGGTCAAATAAATACTATCTACCTCATTTTTAATTGATTTCCTGTTAGTTTTTACTTTTTTCCTCCCCTCTCTCTCTGTACAACATATAATACCGATATTGATAATTGATAAAAAAAAAGGTTTATTGTTGATATAACTTAAACATATAAATAAATATTTATATATTACAGTCGGACCTCCGATAACGGACACCTCCCAACAACGATCACCTCTTCATAGGTCGCTATTAGAACGTTTGGCTGTATTATATAAGTTATATATACATATATTAATTAATTTATCTTTGAATTTTTCTGGCAGGTTTCATGTCCTAAAGATTCTAGAAAGTAATTAAGAGTTTAGAAGTAAGCCTATATAAAGAATAGACACACAGACATTCCATTTTATACACAAAGCTATTAAAATTTATTTTAAAAAAATTATACCATATTTAATAAATTTACTAATTTTTAAAAATTAAATAAACTAAAAAATNTTAAATTAAATAATATTGAAAGTATTATAGTTAAAATGTACTTATCTAACATGAGGTTACCTGTGTGACTTTTCAGGTATTTTTTGATGTTCAGACAGGTGAGAACAGGTGTGAAAGCTGTATATATATATATACAAACACACACAAACAATTGTAAATGGTGACAATATACTGATTGGTGTTTGATATTTCTTTGATAGCTGTGGGCTAAAGAACACATAGGGGTAGTTTATTTTCATAAATATTATTAAAAATTTGTATTATTTAATAATAATTTTAATATCAGACAGTTAATTAATTCAGATTTCTTGGAAATTTTCTATTTTAGAGCAACACCCATTTTTTTAATATTAAAATATGGATTTTTTTTTAAATTATTATCAAATATTTAAGTAATTTTAAAATCGATTTTTTAATGTAAACTTTGAGTAATTTTTAATTAAAATAATTAAAATTAATATTTAACAATTACATTTAAAACAGTTTTAATTTATAATTATTTAAAAAATTTTTAAATCTTGTGTAGAAAATTGTTAAACAAAATTAATTTTATTAGCAACAGAAGCAGCATAAATTTATTGAAAATTTACTGTCAAATTTTTAATTTTTTTGAAATTATTTTAATTACTTTTTATATAAAAATTAACTTAAAAATTAATCATTCTTAGGTTAAGAATTACTCAAAATTTCTAGAATAATATTTGTAAATTTATGAATTATTTAGGTCAACAAATTTCAGGAAATATTCATAAAATATTTTCTAAGAATAAACTTTTTTATCAATTGAATTAAATAGAAAAAATATTAAGGGAGAGAATTGTTCTGTAGGGGGTTGTATTTATTCCTATTTGCATCAATTGAAAGATATTATATCCGGGTCCAGACGTGTAAAAAGACGAAATGAATTTGTATTCAGTAACAAAAACAATCAATTGAAAGTTAGAAATTTAATGAATTTTAATGAACTGTAATTAAAAACTCAGCTTTTAATTACTTTGTAAGCTTTGTTTAATTTGAACAAAACATTAATAAAATGAATAATAAATATTTACACCTGTTAAGTGAAATGTTAGCAGTTAATAACTGTATTCTTATTTTTCATGTAATTAATATGAAATTAACCATTCTATACTTTATAATTTTCATTAAATCTATAAAAATTTATTATTTTAATAAATTATAATTAAAATTTGTTAAAATAATCTTTTTTTAGATATTTTATTTATATTTGAATATCCATATTTCTAATAATATATATTTTATATAATGATAATCATTTATTAAGGTATAAAATTATACAGTTTAACCTCCGAGCAATGTCACTGACAGGAATATGCAAAATGGCTGTCGTTTAGAGTGGCCATTGTTGGAGGTTGAATGCAAAAAAAAAAAAATGAATATTTTGTAATAAATGATTTTGAGGCATTCGTAAACGTACCTATTCGTGCTCGTATTGGCCCTTTACGAAGGTCAAAAACGATCATTTGATAGGTCAGGACCTTTAACTTGGCAATGTAATAATTGGCCTGTACGCATGTAGAATATTTCAAAAAAATAAATAAATAAATAAAGCATTATTTATGGGTGATCTATTATAATAATAATCTATAAATGTTTATTTTAATTACAATTAATGTGGAACTATGCATCACATATCAATTATATTTAACGAATAACGAAATTTATGTAGGCCTATAAGTTGTCATTTTATTGAAGATAAATCAATAAAATATATATTAACAACAGAAATATAGCATTTATTATTAAATCAAACCAGGAAGTAGCCTTCCCATTTCTGTTTTTAGTAACACTAACTGATTATTTTCTGTGAATTAACAATTTTAACATATAGTAATTATTAATTTTTCAATTAAAACTAAAACTGGTCTCACAACTTTATACATATTTCGTATTGTCAGCACGTATGATTCAGACTAAGGGTTGATCGAGTCTATTTCACAACTGTTCATCTTTATCTATTCATGTTAGTTCCTCGTATCCGTTGACGTAATTCCTTGACCTAATGTTCGAAACCTGCCTTAACACCACTGAACATTGGCAGATGGTCGCAAGTTTGCGCTGACCACATGGAGTTTTTTGAATTTTTTTTACGTGTTTACTACCTAAATATGGATCAGTTTCCTGTAAAAATTCTCCCTGGTGGCATCCCATTTCACTGATTGCGTGTGTTTTACGTTTCTCGGCCCACCAATCCATCATCCAATCCGTTTATAAATTACAAATATAACTAAATTAAGAAAGCTAGCACTTTTTGAATTTTATAAACTTAATGCTATATAAATATTAATTAAGTATCAATACTTTCAGGGTCAAACTGGCTACATCTCCTTTATTAATATTTGCTGATATTATTCTATTATTAAAATAATAACTATGCTTAAATTCTAGAAAAGTATCTGGCTTTGATGATGAAACCTCAATTATAAGCGTTTTCTGTAGTATAAATTTTCATTAATTATTTTAAAATTGTTTTATACGGTTCTTGTAACCGTAAAGATAACTAAAAATTTTAGGCTTTAACTCTATATTTTTTCATTAATTAATTACTTCGTCTGTAAAAAAAAGAGTAAATAAATTTTGAAGGCAAGATTATTTAACGCCTCTAAAATATTTTTGGCCTTGTGTAAAATATTAACACTTTTGACTTCTGCAATAAAATATAGGGGAGATCGGGGCAAGTTTGTCAAGCGCTTTTTTTAAAAAACGAATTAAAAGGAGACTTTGGTTATAGGTTAGGCAGTTGAGTTTTATTGGTGGCTTGTTGAGTGTAGTGTTTTTATTGTTCTCCAACAAGCGTAGTTGAATTATCAAGCAAATTTTCATTTTCGTTCAATTCCATATAATATTTTTTTTCCATTTATATTGAATTGGCAGGTTTTGTTATAATTCCATGATAACGAAAGTTACTTTTCCTGTTAGAAGGATGTAACTTCAACTTATTCACGTGGCCAGATCGTGGCTTGGCATTCTGTTCTCAGGGTTGTACTTAATGTTTCGAAATCATGACTAGCGGGGTAAGATCGGCAACATAAAGCCACATTAGAAGCAAAGGATAAAAATCAAACAGATGATAAATGAAAACATGTTTGCATTTGTTATTCATGTATATATGTCTTTGAACTTGCATTTCGTTGTAATAATATTAAATGGGTGTTGGATTTGTATTTCTTTGTTTTAATAGTGAATTCCAACTTATACATTGTTAATAACATAATTTTATATACGTGCCTATCTTGCCCCATTACTGTTGCCCCTATACCAGGGGCAACTTTAATAAAAATAATTAAAATAATTACAACTTTACAAAAAGAGAGAAGTTGCCGATCTTGCCCCTATACCCGGGGCAACTTCGTCAATTTCTCTCTTCTTGTAAAGTTGTAATTATTTTAATTATTTTTATTTCCAAACTGATTTTAACCAGTTCTATAGTAAGGTAACATTCCAATAGACAATATGCAAAGCTTTTTTTTCAGTTTATAGCAGTATTTATTACACAAAATTTAAGTAAAGCTTAACATGCCGATCTTGCCCCGATCTCCCCTAAGTTTAATGGTTGTCACTCTCTAACATTGCACTTGGTAAGCAACATCTTGTTAAAGTTGGCTTTAATTAAAAATTGTATGGTGTCATTTGTTAGATAAATCTTGAAATTCTTCAAAATCTGTTACAACTTTTGCACTAAAATAGAAATAATTGCATTAATCCGTAAGAAAGTTTTCTATACTTCGGGATAACTGTCTTGTAATCTACACTTTTAAGTTATGACAAATGCAGCCAAGAACAAGCAATATTTATCATTTATCTCAGTCTAACCTGAACACTGAAGTAGTGATTCATCATTACAGCAGCAAACCATATAAAAGTTTTATATGAAATTTCTTTAGTTGACTGCATGACAATAGATGTATTATAGCAGATTTGACTTTTATTAAGGTACAAAATGTATTTTCCACAATTCAATTATCTTTATAAAGCCTAACAACAACTACAAGAGATGTATCAGATCATATATGTCAACTGTTTCACATACAATAAATGAGAAAAGATACTTTCTCAAACGCTTACAAGATTATTAAATTGTTCTGGCCGTAATACATTTAAGATCATCTCTGTTGCTTTGCTTTTACAAACAGTACAGTATTATATCTTTAGCAACAGCACAATCTGAAATATGACTATAACAAAGGTATAAAGATGATCTAATATCTTTAATAGACTCTTCTATTAAAGAGATTAAATTAACATACAGTATATATGGTTATGTATAGTTTCCTTAGTTGCCTTTAGGTATTATTATTATAATATATATATATATTATATTACTGTAAATGTTTGATATCTGGC